GGGATTTTGACCCATGGCCATCTCATTGCCAGTTCTCGCCCATATTCAACCGGGATTTGTTAAGGGGCAGAGCTGATCCGCCGGCCAACTGTGACAAGCCACTTATGAGCTTTGGCCGGCAGACCTTATTCATCGCCACTTGCACGTGCGTTTGTGGCGGCACGCCGTCAGTTCGACCTGGGTGGTGGCAAGCCCCCCTTCTCGCCATAAAGAGGAAGGTTGGAGAGAGTGGAGCACAGATGCTTGGCATCCTTCTCAACCAATAATGTTGACCCCTGATTAACAAACCCCAGTTCATTAATGTGGGAGTGTTCCCTCCAAAAGTGATGAATCCCCACTAAAACCAGGGACACGCCCATATTGGCCCATATTAATAAGCAGGGGTTTATTAATCTGGGGTCAACATTGCTTCATGTTGCTCCAATGTTTCATGTGGCAAGGGGGGTTTTCCACCCACGGAGCTTGGGCAGATGGTGTCAAAAGGCTGCGAGGGGGAGGGCAGAGGCTGGAGCAGGATTCCTGCATGTCTCGTCCTTATGGGCAAAATACCAGTGCTTTGCAAAGCCACCAGCTGCATACACGCCTCGCAGTTCATGAATTCTTGGCTTTTTCGGCATGATATGCTGTTCATGGCGTTCATTGCCTCGCTTATCGAAGAAGTGAGGCACGGTGGACGACAGTAGGCTCCTTTGAGGGGAACTCCGCGGTTGCCATGGCCTTCACTGAGAGGCCATGGATGACATGTAGCGGAGGCCAAATGATTACTTTTCTAGGGGTAGCTTCCATTTCCATTCTTTCCAGGGATCCTTCTTTCCAGAAGACCACCCGGGAAACAGCTGGTGATTGAAAAAAAAGATGATTGAACAGAATGATGGTTGAAAAGGATGGAAAAGGAATCAACCCCTGAATCTTGGTTGGTAGGTGAATTCACCACCCATTTTAGTTTAGTGGTTGGCATTGAATCGGATGTTTAGTCGGGGGGGAAGGAATCAACCCCTCGAACTTTGCCGACGAAACACCGCGCCGAGGCCTGCGTGGCACCGGGCAGCTGCCTGAGCGAAACAAAAATTCTCTGCACTTCGCGTTCTTGCTCCTATTGGCGCACTTGCTTCCAGTTGCTGAAGAAGAATTTGCATCGTTTTGCTTCCATTTGCTTCCATTGGCGAGATTTTAGATTTCCTGTTCTTGGTTGTAAAGGGAATCTATCACTTCTGGAAAGCGTTTTCTTTATTTTTCCAGGGGGCTTAAGCAAATTGGAAGCTTGGCCTTCGCACGAATACACGATCTTGCGCAGGTTCATTTGGCCGTGGTTGTCCAAACAGTTTGGGGATCCCCTTTTGCCCTTTTGGTGGGTGCACCACCCATTTCAGAACCTATTTTAGTGGGGATTGGGATGTTCACTGGGGGTACGATTTGGGCTTTTGACCCATGGCCATTTCAGTCTTTCTGGTTGTTGGTGATGTTTTGCGCCTTCTTGTCGTGGGAGCTTAGGATCCTACGCCATGCATCGTTTCTAGCCTTCAGTATATCGGTCAAAGGCGATGTTGGACATGAGTTGTGGCATGCTCGCAGTCTTCTTTTGCCCTGTGTGACTTCATAGTTTCGCAGCTTGCGACGCACCGTGTCGCTTGCTTTGTTAAATGTGTTCGAGTCATGCGCGCAACTTCCGTCAACTACCAACGGACATTCAAACTCACAGATGTCCACGGGCGTGCAGACATCAGTGGTATCAAAGTTTGTTCTGTTGAACTTATTTGAAGCAGTCGACATGTTATCGGCCAGGCACTACCATGTTGCCTGCAGCCATAGGTGTCCTTGTTGGTTGTTTTGCTCGAAAGATAGATGGCGATTCCTGGCCCTGGTTTACCTGGTGGTTGAAGTTCATCTACCAGGGATATCCATCTACTTCCCCTAAAAGGACACCTATGACAGTGGATTCAGCCTTGGCATTGACATCCGCGCCTGCAGGTACTACTGTGGATGGTTGCGAAATCCATTTCGCACCACCTAAGAAACCCTGCAATGATGATTCTCCTATAAATACTCAGTTGTTCAAAGCCGACCTTTTGACCTGTTGGTTTTCCCATTTTGGGTTCCCATATTTAGTCACCCCAAAAGGTGATCACCTTTTAGTTCCAGGTCCGAACTGGGCAACTGAGAAAAGGACAAGTTGCGCGTGTTGAAATCCATGGACCATCCCTACTGACTTAGGTCCCCCAGCTATTGGTGCCCTTTTAAGGTTGCTTTTTTGGTTTCCCATGGTTTCAACTTGGTGGATTTCGTCCATCAGTAGGTCCCTGAGCAGCAGCCTCCTGTTTTCTGAGGACGCGCTGTTCCTGCACAACGTGAGTTTCGAGTCCTGGCAGCTTGGTGCTCAGCTCCGAAAAACAAAGTGCTTAAAGGGGTGTCGGCAAAAAGCCACCTTCCATGTTCGGGGCTGCTTAACAGATCTCCATTTTGCGTCACCAGTTGAAACATGTTGCGCTTTTTCAACACCAAACTCTTAAGGGAAGCCACCATTTACAAGTTGCAATGTCCAGGTGTATAATGCAAGGATCCCTGCAATGTTCTTCAAAGCTTGCACTCCGTGGGCTAACTCGTTCGATCTACTCGAACTTTCACATCGTTCTTCCGGACTTTGCGTGCCTTTGGGCTTGCATGCAGTTGGACGCATGTCATGTTGATGCCAGATGACGATATTACCAGATGATGCCAGATGATACCAGATGATGCTAGATAATACCAGTGGCCTGTAGATGTCTGACAATGCGTGACAATGCGGCATCCTTGCAAGACTAAGTCAGGACCTCAGCAGCTTCACACCATCACTCAGTTGTTTTTTGTTGGACGGATGTGTCTTGAACATCAATTGAACAAGCAGAAGCCATGGCGTTGCCAAAACAGACATGGCTTCGGAGCTTTGAGCAAACGGCCCTTCTCACAGTATGCTGCTCGCTCACATGGACAGAGGCCAGCTCACGTTGCCCCATGGAGGGGGACATTGGATATTGCAATTGTCCATGCCTTTTGTCGCTGACTTTGCCGAGAGAGATGAGGGCCTGCATGAAAGCCACCATGTTTCGAACTCGGCATCGGGCTTTCAAACGTCAGCCCCGCCCCCTCGATCCGCAGCGCTCAGGGAGGGCATTCCCAAGGACAGGGAATTGGACGCTCTGCTTGAAAACCAATGCCCGCCAGTCTAAAGCGGGCCCCAAAATGGTCAGCGTCCTTGGCCTGGACCGCGCCTTAGGAACCATAGCAAGAGAATGTCCCTGGTTCACCTGGCGCCAATGGGAACTACTTGGGCCTGGCTCAAAATTAAAAACACCGGGGAAAAACGCGGCTTTAGTCTTTGGTTCCATTTACCAAGGTGCCATTTACCGCTTTTTGGAGCCACAGCCACTTGGGTGTCAGTGTCAGAGAGGTCTGATGGCGCGCAGGAGCTCCGGTTCCAGCCCTTCTTGGAGCTGAAGGACCGCATCGCCCGTGGGCAGGAGGAATGCCATGCCGCTTTATCCCCATCCCCACTCACCTTTAAAAATGGAATGGGGGGGGGCTGGCTGAAATTGCATTTGTAGTCCCATTTTCCCTTCTGTGGGGAAGACAAACAAAACGGAATTCGGGGACCCCCCACCCCCCTCCCCCTTATGGTAGGGTGATGCCGCTTTTAGTGGAAGCAAGCGGAAGATTGTGGGAGTGGCTAAACTTGACGCACTTGGACCCTGGCCGGGGGCTGTGTTCCAACTATCGCTTGCCCGCTGCGGCCAAGCCATGTGAGAGGCATGTGAGTTGTGTCCTGGTGATTTCCTGCAAGCAGAACACTCCAAGCCATTGCTTAGTCACCTAGTTAGCACAACGGACTTAATTGTGGCTGGCTAGCCAAGGCTCTGGAGGTGCCAAAGTTGAGCTGTTGCAAGGTCCCTCCAGACCAAGTTCGAACATTGAGGGCCTGTCCACGGTGTTGCTTGGTTGTGTGTTGCCAAATCGTAGCCCAGCGACGAGCGGGTTCTGCCACGCGAATTCTGTCTGTGCAGGATGGCGGTGGAAGAGATTTGACTGCTTCGCCCAGCCCCCAGCTTCCTGCACGCTCATGGTGCTTCCGAAAATTTGGCCGCTTGTGACACGACCCAAATCAGCTCAAGCTGTTTGCATTAGACTTAGGCCCAGTTATGGAATGTATATTCTATTGTTTGCTTCCCTTTTGAGTCAGTGGTAAAATGTAAAATGTATCCTGAGTCCCTGAGTCTACCCCAGTTTGAAGCATGTATCTATGGGAGGCCACCAGTCTCAGAAGATTTCTTTCGCCAGGATGCAGCAGCTCAAGCAGGCTCACCCCAACGTCGCCCTGGAGCTGCTGGACAAGTCTCTGGCCAAGGCCATTGGAGTGGGGGGGGGGAGGCGGGGGTTGGGGGAGGGGTGGGGGGGGGGGAGGTTTTGCGCCAGCTGGGGGCGTTGGAACCGGCACCTATGTGAATCTGGCTGGCTTCTTGTTTCTTCCACACCTGGCATGGGCCATCTGGACCGGTGTGGCATCCAACCATAAGCCAGAAGCCTTGCACCCATGAAAATGCGGCTTGGGCTTGACAAGTCACCTGGCCATTGCCAGGACCTCCTCTCTCACCTGCCCGACGACCTCGGAGAAATAGAAACCGCGACCGTTGCGCCGCGGCCGGGCTTCGCGACGCCCTGTGAGACCACGTGGCGATTTGCATCGTCGTCCAATCAAAACCTCCAACTGGAAGATGTTTCGGAAAAACTGACAATTTGGGAGGCTGGTTTTTGTTTGGGCTTCCCTCTAGCCATTCAAGCTGCACTTTGCCCATACTGTCTATCGCATTGCCAAACGCAGGGAGTTCAATTGCGGGGGGTGGAGACCAAGAAGCGCTGGGGCCTTCCACAGGTTGACAGCAACTCCAAGATGGGACCCGTTCCCTATTCTACGACGAGCGGAAGCCATTGCTCCACGCGCGGGCCACTCTCAGGCCACTCTCAGGTCATCGGTATGGTTGACCTTTGGTTCCATCAGCTATGGCAAGACGTGTTCGGCGACTGAACTCAAGGACGGACCGGGGTTCAGCATGGCGATGCGCAAAGCGCTTGACAGCTGCAACATCAAGAACTGTTTTTGCGTTCAGTTTTTGCCCATGAGTGTTCCTTCTGCCCTTAGCCTTGGTTCTTGCAAGCGCTGTTCACTGTAAGGCACCCTCACCCCCAAGAAGCGTAGGAGCAAGAGTGGGCGATGCTCCTTCCTTGCAGACCGTCGCTACTTCCTGAGTTGGACTTCAACCTTTTTGGGTTTGGACCACGTTAGTAGATCAGAAGTTCTTTTGGCTTCTTGGGCCAATCGGGGTTTGGTGATTTGGCGATTTGGTTCCAGGTGTCAACGGCCTCTTCAAACATTCGGCCCAAGCGCGGGTCAACGGGATCGCGGCTCCAGCCGAGCCAAGAGCCGTCGCCATGGGACGGAGGCGAGGGAAGCGGGGACTTAGCGATCAGCTGCCCAATTCTTTGGGACACATCCCCCCACCAGCAGTGGATGAGTGATTAGTGTACAGTGGATTCTTTCTTAGCCGCTTGGTCGACCTGAGTTTCTTTTAGACATGTGTTGATCCTAGGGATATGTTGATCCTTGATCTTCCCCAGAATTAGCTCCCCTTTTTCCTTTTTTGCTTTTTTGAGGTCCCCTTTGTTTTCCACTAACCAGGCAAAATCGATATTTTTTGCTGGGGTCCTAATTCCAGCCTAGTGATTTGGAAACCGTTCCATGCTTCTGGAAGGGGGCAAGCCGTTTCCCGGAAAGCAGCGCATTTTAGCTTGACCCAGGATCTGTTTTAGGCCACGTGGTGAAAAAACCGCCAGCGGGCGTTCGGATTCCAGGTTCCTTCGGGGCAGCTTTTGCATTTGTACAGCCCCAGAGGTGTTGCAGTTTGCCGTGTAAAACAGACTGTAATCTGGAATTTGTCACTTCCCACAAGGAAATCAACAGGAGAAGGGTAACTTCGCGATGGCAGGTGTGTGGTGCTGTGTGCTCTTGGCTGCCTTCATTTTAGTCCCTTGGCTGATTGGGGTGCTTGGGTGCTGCAAACCGCGCTGACTTTTTTATAATATTTTTCCTGGGGGATTAAGCAAATGGAGGCAGATGGAATGCTCCTGTGTGGGATGTTTAGACAGTGATGAGTTCATGGACCATTTCTAGCCCGACGGCGGGAAATGTCCATCGAAAGAAAACAGTGAGCGCGGAAAGCAGCGAAGGATGTATGCGTCTGACTTTCTGACATCACAGTATCAGGATGCGCATGCCGTGACATGGGAGGGAGCTCACCTTGCACTTCCCCCCAAAAAGCCCGTTATGGTGCCAAAACCGTGTTGCCTCTATCGACATGACTGTCCTGCTGAAGTCTGGGATGCGCGTGTTTGTGCCAGGGATTACCTGCAGATGGTACAGTCTTGTTTGTCGCTCAGGGTGATAGGTTGAACTCCATCATTTCAATCTCAATGCTTGTTGAGAGACCCCGCAGTGTTGAAGCTGCCTGGTTTGTTTCCCAGGCCTTCAGCGATCATGGGTGAGCCTCTTGCCAGAAAAAAGGTCGGCGGGCTTTGGGTCGGGTTTTGCCCTGTGCCCATTTGGATCCCAAAGCAGTGGATTGGGGTGCCATGGTGACACCGGTTTCAGGACGGCCGATCTCTGAACTAACGGCCCCTGCGGCAGAACTATGCTTCAGTAGTTCGCCGCTCTTCCGCTGCTGTGTCGAGGCCGCGGCTACTGTCAACACCCCGAGGGTGTGTATCCTTAGGGTTGCCAAACCCCAAAGTGAAGCAAAGCATGATTCACCCGTGCCTCGCTCTCCTCGACTCGCGGCGAAAGTTTCTGTCAAGGCATTCTGCCGTACCCCATGCCCCAGGTCCCCGTGAGCATGCCGCTGTTGGCTACTACACTGCTGCCCTGAGGGGCGCCGCAACTGCAGCTCCTGGGCTGCGCATTTGGCCAAAGGGACTGGCAAACGATGTTCGGTCGGCGCTTGAAGCGTTTCAAGACTCATCACTTCGTGCTGCCCGGATTGGTCGGGGCTCCCTGTGATTCTCTTTGAACATCACCCCACCAAGACAAACTCACTTTAGTGTTGCCCCGGTGATCTTTAACACCTCCCAAAGCGGGAAATATGGATTTAGACCATCGAAATTCTGATTAGAAGTTGCGCTCTGCTTCCAAACCGCCGAGGGAGAAGCAAACTCGTCAAGAAGGCATCAGTCCTGCCATTTATGAGTGAGCGACTGGGGAATGACCCCATTTTTTCAGGGTCATGGAGACTCCAGACAGACATATATCCGCCAACTATGCCAACCACACTTTGAACAAAGGGATCGTCGCAGGCCAAACATTTTCACCCTGCTATTTGTTTTCCACCCATGCCTGCAGTTGGCCACACAGTGCTGAATCATGTGTCTAGGCTTGGGTCCGTCTCACAAGGCCAATTAGAGATGATGTAGCTTGAGGGTTATTGCCTGGGATCTTCAGACTTTTGAACTTCTTCTTCCTTTCTTTTTCGGAAAGTCACGTGTTTTTTTTTCTTCCCATGAAGCCCATTCACTGGTTGTCCGCAAAACGGCGTCCTTCTCGGGCGGTCGGCTTGGCTTTCTCGGGGCGGAGCCGAGGTCCACGGCAGCGAGAGCTCCGGCTTCAAGCGGCTGGCGCTGCGGCTGGGCAGAGGGCAGAGGGCTTCATTACGTTGCATGTGTCTTGCAGTTTATCAACTAGAATTTGGGAACTATAGGTTTGTCAACTATAGTTTTATCCACGATGGTTTTGGTGCATTTCGCCCAGGGCTGTTGGGACTTTGACTTGTTGCCAACTACTGGGTGTTCCGAATTAAACCACTAGAAGCTGAAAACTTTTAGCGGAGCAGAAAGCAACCGAGAAATTCATCTCAGCTGCCCAAAGCAAATCGACCTGATCTGACCAACATGGTGTTCCCATTTTGGGTTCCCATTTTTAGTCATGGCCCCAAAAGGTGATCACCTTTTAGTTCCAGGTCCGAACTAGGCAACTGAGGCTTGGCTTAATTAATAGGGGGGAATCAGACCACTCTTGGAGGGGCCCCCACCCCTATCTTACTAAACACTTGAGTGCTATTGGGTGGGATCTTTAAACACTAACTTTTTGGTTGAAATCGAGTTGGGTTTTCAACACTAAACCCCCAAAAAGTGAAAAGCTTTTTGCAGGGGGGTCAGCAGCAACCAAGTCTCCAATCTGCTTTTTGTTCCTCAAGGGACAGCTTCTGGGTTCAATCTTACATGGGACACAATCAACAGGGTCGGGTGCGCAGGGCCTTCATGTGTATGAAGCAATCCGGTTTTGTGCTCCAACTAGGTCCCCCAGCTAGGTGCCCTTCTCACCCGTTTCTTTTTTGGTTGGGAGGGTTCCCCTACTAAAATAGACTACAGAAAAAAGTTGGTACCCTTATTCTAACCTCTCTACTGGAGGACCTAGTCGCCCCTTTATCTTCCAGGCAACCCCCCTCCACCAACAAGAAAAACAAGAAGAGAAACAGCTGGACGCGTTTTGTCCCTTCGCCGCAACGACCGCCCCCGCTCGGCCAATTTCCGCCTGGCGCCCCGCGGATTTTCCACCGGAGGCTGCACTACGAGGCCGTGGAGCTGCGCAGGGCGCGGAAGTTTGCGGAGAGCTCGGCGGTGTACCGTGCGGCTGGGCCCTCGGCAGAGCCAAGGGGGGGGGGAGTGGGGAAGAGACCGGCGGCGTGTTCCGATACGAAATCTTCCGTTGAGGTCGAAAGAGCGTGGTGCATGTGGTTCGGCTGGCCATCAAACGAGTTCAATTTGATGTTTGATGCCTAGCCACCGACAAACACGGGGGTACGTCGGTATTATTTTTTTCTGGGAAAGGCTTTCGACTGTGCGCTGCCATGCTTCGCTAGCAGACGTACTTGCCACCCAGATGTTTCTTGGTGGCTTCCAGCCATCCCCTGAGCTTGTTAGCCTAGTGTTTAGTGGTAGTTTGCATTTGACCCACTAAAAGTTCAACTTTTAGCGGGGGATCTGAGGGCAGCCCAGGTTTGTCAAGGAAGTTCCGTTTGCTCGTGTTCACCCGGCGATACCGCCAGGCGATCGCTCTACAAGAGACGCTGCCTCCAACGCGTCTGGGAAGTGAATCCGTTGACGCGTTTTTGACGGTTGGTCGATAAAGGCACCCCAGTAATGTTGACCCAGGATTAATAAACCCGTCCCATTAATGGGGGGGTGTTCCCTCCAAAAGTGATGAATCTCCACTAAAACGGGACACCCTCCTATTAATAAACCGGGTGTATTAATCCGGGGTTTACATTGGTGGCTTATGGGGTCAGGGAGCTCAACTTAGGTGTTCGAATATGGTGGTTTGTTCCTGGCAGGGGCCAGTTGAGTGCCAACAGCGTGTCATTATGTCATTGTCCTTCACACTGAACCTCCCGGGCTTTGCTCCAGTTGGTTTCTGAAGTTGAGACGCCCCGCAACAAGACTAAGACATGTTTGGTTGTTCCAGACAGCTGGAGGAGCTGGCTGGGAGCTGGTCCCGGGGCTCCCATGGCAGCGTTGACCACGGCTGAGTTGAGCTGCCCAGGAAGGAAGTGCCTACCTTTGCGGCAGCTGCATGCTCCTGGCTTCTGGGCTGCATGCGGGGGGGGGGGGGGGGGGGGGGGTGCAAAAACCAGCTCGTGAGCATTTTGGTCGAACACAGTTTTTCCATTTGGCTCGAATAGTTCGATGTTCCCCTGTTGGTTTTAAAGGGAATCTATCACCACTGGAGTTATTTTTTTTGTTCCAGTGGGCTTTTCCAAATGGAGGCAGTCATTGATCAACCATTCACAGTTGTGGCAGCGGTCTATGTGGGTGCGTCCACAATTGTGGGTGCGTTGTGGAGTTGAAAGCTTTAGGAAGGCAAAACAACAAGCAACTCACAATGTGAATTCAGGTGTCCCTTTCCCCCTTCGAACCAACCAGCCAATGTCCACACCGAGGTAAGGGGCAGCTTTTTTTTTGTCTTCGAGCCCCGGTGTTTTTCGGTGTAAGTAAGGCCTCTGGACGTGGGGTGCCTCTGCATTCGACGCGTCAGGCTGAACCTGGCGCTCACGGAGCAGAAGACCTCCACGTGCCTGGACGCCGCGCGGTCGGCGTTTCAGGAGGGCACCCGATATGCGGCTCGCCTAGTGACTAGTGGGGCTCGAGTGGGGCGGTTTGGACGGTTGGGGGGATTTTGGGGTGGTTGGGGGGGGGGGATTTTTAGGGGTATCCTCCCAAAAAACGGAAGGACTCCGGTTGCTGGAGAGCTGGAAGACCATGTTCCTTTAAGGACCAGTTCCTGCTAGGTTCCTGCCATTGGTCTTTGGACGGTACCCCTAATTGGGGGGTTGGTTGCGTTCCCATGTTAAGGGGGGCCACAGGGACAAAGGGAAGCCAACCTGAGCCATTTGAATCCATGTTCCAGGCGCAGGGTTTGGGCCGAGAATGGAAGATTGGTGCATTTCGCCCAGGGATCCAAATTAAACCACTACAAGTTAGTCACTTTTTGCCGGGGAGCAGAAAGCAAGCGAGGGAAGAGTGGGCTCGCCCTTTTTCGCTGAGGTGCAGGGCCTCATTCACAAGGAGCTGGATGTGTGGATTGATGGCCATCATCAAGTGAGGTCGCGGGCTCCCGTCCTGGAGAGAGCCTTGTTTTGAACTTGCTATGTGCCAGTCGGTTCTGGGGCCAGCTAGGGCCAGCTGGTCAGCTTTGTCAACGCGAACAGCCCTTCAAAGTGCCGACTGGAGCTAGCTGGTCAGTTGAAACTTTGTCAACACGAACAGCCCTTGACACGAAGTGAAAGCCCGGTTGCTTTGCCTGATTCCAAGACCGGAGGGTTTCTTGGGCTGGCTGGTTGCAAGGACCAGCAAGGACCAGCAGGTGGTTTACATGGAGTTTTTGACCCTCCGAAGCCCTTCGGCTGACGTGCATTTTTCCTGGTGGGAAGCCAAAAGAAGTCCATAGCAAACCGCCCGCCCGATTTTTGGAGACACGATGCCCCTTTTTGGGGATAGGGAAACCATTCTTTAACAAAAAAAAAAGAAGGTCCAACTGGGAGCTTTCTCCCCCCCCCCCAGAAACCCCCCCCCCAAAAAAAACAAAAACACACAAAAACAAATCCAGTTGGAGCCCCAGCCCCCCCCGCCCCCCGCAGCCGCCCCAGCCTCGACCTTTTCGTCGGAAAAAATCGAGGCCACAACCTGCGCGTGGCCCGGCGCTGGCTGGCCACGCTGCTGGTGGCCTGGGGCCTGCTGGAGACCAAGCGGGGCTTCCGGGCCCGCGCCCAGGCGCAAGCGGAAGCGGAGAAGCGGAATGAGCTAAGCGGAATGAGCGGGGCAAGGGGTAGATAAGCAAAGGTGTCCCTTTTTGGGGTGGATTTGCTGGAAAATCGAGGGCGATTCCTGGTGTACCTGATGGTTCAAGCAACTACCAGGGAAACCCATCGATTTTCCCAAAAAGGAGACCTATGGGTAGATGGCTGAACCTTCGCCCCCCCCCAAAAAAAATCTAAATAAAAAAATAAGACATAACATGCATGAAGAAGAGCGCAACAACAAAGAGAGAAAACATGGAACACTTTTGCAAGATTACTAATTCCGGGGTCGGTGTTTGGGAAGACTTGAGAATGGCGTGCATGGAAGAGTCGCAATATGCTTTTCATCCCTGATCTTCTTCAGCTTGAGTTGGGTTCGCAAGAGGTTCAAACTGGTCAATAGTGATCCCTGATTAGAGGAGTGAACCTGGCAGATTGGCGGAGGGTTCCCTTCCCCAAAAACATGCCGCATCTCTCGCATTTTTGATGCGACACCCAGATTTTAACCAACCGGGGCCCAATCATAGCTTCCCTCGAGTGCTTCAGTGTTCAATGTGCAGGTGCTGGCAGCGCGCGCAGCTGTGCTGGACGAGAGCAAAGCAAAGGCGCTGGTTCTAGATGCTTCCTCTGTGGGGGCTTGAGCATCACCTTTGCCAACTTGATATGTGTTGATTTTTTGAATGGGCAATAGAAGCAACATGATTCAGAGCCCTGGGACACACAGACCTTCAACTTGCGGATGGGTGCCATGGGAACTACAAGGAAGTCCACCGCTTGGATGTTGCTGAAAGCTTACAAGGCCCCAGTTATTAGCTTCTTCCTGAGCTGTGCAGCGGGAAGAAGGCAATTCCAGAGCATGGCGTGGGAGCTAGTGTGCGCGGATGCATGCACAACCACTAATTTTGGCTAGGCCCAATTAGGGTGGTTGGTAAGGGACCGAGGTTGTACCGGAGAATTTGACCCGGTCACGTTCGTTGCCATTGCCAGGTCCTTGGCTGGAAGGCAGCTGGGACGCAATGTGCCACAGGATTTTGCTGTAGGACTGGTCTCAGCCGCTAACCCAAGCGTGCCCACTCAAACCTGCAGATTTGCCGGGTTTTAGGCTAATCTGCCTGGATTTGGCAAGGGGAGACGGGGGGGGGTTCTCTTGGACGGCAAGCCGCTGTGGCAGCCCTGTTTCTGGTGTCGCTCGTGCATGAAGTTGCCCATTGAACGATTGGCATAAGGGTGCCTACGGTTTGGAAGAGCATGCCAGGGTTTGCACGCCTCGGGCTGTGCTGTTGCATTCAGATGAGTGCTGCTCCCTTGCGCACAGCTACTCTTGTCTCAAATTGGCCATGCGGTGACCTGCCTTGTGTTTTCAAAGTAGATGCACGACCGCATGCACACCGGCATTTGCTTATCATGCAGAAGCTGCAATTGGCCGAGCAAGGTTCCCACAGCAGCCGAGCATGCATCATGATGTGCTGAGGTGGTTCAAGGCTGACAAGGCACTCTCTTCCAGGTTGACGAGAGGCGGGCGTGGGCTTGTTTTGAGTCGCACTGGGTTGGAGCAGGCATCGGTGCTTGGTACTTGTCCAATCGACCGATAGACGCAGGACACTGGCATATCAAGTGCCAAGGTCTCAACTAGCCCAAGCCTGCCCCAGCATAGGGCAAGCACATCGACAGCCGCCACGGCACCCTCAAGTCCCTTGGGCGTTGGGCCAAATCAGCATGTGCCCTTTGCGACTTGCTGAACTGCCAGTTGGGCTTCCCACCAAGTCACGGGTTGGAGGCGAATTGTTTATTGGCACGATTTGTAAGGCCGGCGGACGCATCGGCGGCTTGATTGAAGGGATTGGTTTGTGGTTGTTGCCGCGGGCGTCGCTTCTTTGCCATTCTTTACCTTTGTGGCATACCCTGTTGCCAGGCATGGCTCGGTTCTTTGCGTCTCTTGAACTGAGCTTCAGTCGGTCACTCAACGGCTGAGCCGTGCATCTCGTGTTCTACTTGGGGCCTGCGGGTCTCCAAACCACCTTGCGCCAGTCTCGCTTTTGGATGGCGCTCACATGGCAATTGAGCGAGGTGCAGCTGCCAGCAGCCAGAAGCAAGAACGCCTCTCCTGCATGCAAAGTTGTGGCTTGGCTAGAGGGGGGTGGGGGGGGGGTGAGATGCCTTGGCCTAGCGAATGATAAAGTAGTATGGACCCAGTTTGGGTTACCTGGCGCAATGTTTGCCACGCAATGCAAGTTTGGGTTAGCTGGCGCGATCATTGCCTTCTCACAATCAAACACCCGCATGGTCGAACCCAGCGCATGAAGAAAGGAGCTTGAGGGTGGTATGAAGAAAGTGTCCTTTTTGAATCGCCTGACCTCGGACTGGGCTAACACACGCCTTACTCAGTAGTTCGCCAACTGGGATTGAGGATCAGGTATGACACACCTATTCCGGTGAAAGCAACAGCTTCGGGAACGGGCGGAGCGGAGCTGATGGATGGCTGGGGATCAGCTGTGTCACTTCTTTGGCCTTTCTGGAATTTCCCGGGCTTCCCACGCCGATGATAGCCATAAGCGTTGCCAAGACCCGCTCAGAGGCTCAGCTCAAGATCATGATGCCCACTGCTGCGCAGAGTTCTGCTTCGTGGGGTCATCTTGGTTTCAGCAAGGCCCATATGGGAGTTTCTCACCATGGCGAGCTTTTGTTGGGCGCTTGAAGCAACCCTGCGAAGGCCAACCTGGGGCTGTACAGACGCCCCTTCTGTGCCCCGGACAAACAAAACCACTGCGTGATAGAACTCCGGTTGTGCAAGTCACGTGCAGCCAGAGAGTTTGCAGCTCAAGCTTTTGCTAAGGCGTGTTTGCCTTGGCTTTAGTTCCTGTGAGTCATGGAGAGTCCAAATCTTGAAGCGGCGGCGGTGGGCAGAAGATCCTCGAGCTTCAGCATTCATTCGGCTGACAGTGGGCCGGAGACCAGTTGTGGGCCCGAATCACAGCTCCGGAAGATCCGAGCGCTGGCTTGGTTGATGGCAAGGATGGAGGTGACACGGCCGGAAGTTCTGCGGGCGACCTGTGCCTACCATGCTTTCCAGTCCTGCGCTGCAGCTCTGCGAGGTAGTAGAGGGAGAGACTTCTTTGCCAAGAGCCGGGAGGTGTGCAAGATCCAGGAGTTCTGGAGCCATTCTTGGCACTCAAGTGCCTGGGCCAAATGCTTGACGCTCTTGGTGCTGAAGAACGGCCGAGCAGCGATTTGTGTGGGCTACAGCTGCGCCTTGATTGGCATTCTGCTGTTTCATCTTCACGTCTTGCCAGGTCTCCATAATCATTTGTATTTGTCAGAAGATATCTTTGAGAGATCTTCCGTTTGGTCCTCAGTGCTTGGTGCCGCTGGCATCATTTTGACCATGGCATGCTGGCGGTGTAAAACAGCAGTTTTTCTGGACAGGATCTGCATCAGTCACACTTCGGCTGAATTGAAGACAGAGGCCATTTGCAGCCTTGCCGGGATTCTGAACAGTTCAGAGTCTATGCTGGTGCTTTGGGATGCTTCCTTTGCGGAAAGGTTGTGGTGTGTGTTCGAGATCGCTGCCTTCCTGAAAAGCAAGCAGGGGCGAGAACCGCCTCTTCTCATTTGCCCCACCCTGACAGGGCCAATCTCATTTGCCGTCTTTGCAATGATCACAATTGCCTTTATTCCACTGCTGGTCGTTCCAATTCATGAAGATCCAGAGACATCATCACTTGCACATGCCTGGCACCTTACAGCCTTCGTAACCACTGCTGTTGCTGGCGCTTATGCGTGTTGCCATTTTATGCGTGGCTTTTATCGATCTGTAGAGGTCATGCAAAGGCAGCTGCTGTGCCTACAGATAGCTCAGCTCAAATGCAGCTGCTGCAGCACTGGCCGATGTCGGGGTGGAGAGGTATGTGACAAGCGGATCATTGCCGAATGCATCGCGATTTGGTTCGGCAGCGCGCAGGACTTTGTAGAGTACATCCGTACAGAAGTCGTGGAGGTGATTACCAAGCAGCTCGAGCGGAATGCGTTCAATCTTGCTTGGAGCCTTGCTATCACATCTCCGTCAATATGGGGCGTGTTCGATTTGATGCAGTTCCACGTGCGAACACCTCATCCAAATGGGTACTTCATCATGGTGTGGTTCTATATCTTGCTTACTATGCTTTTGCTTTGTCCTGTATTGGTCTCGTGGATGAAATTCTTGGCCTACCACCTTCGCCATGAATCTAGGTCCAGATGCGGCGAGGTCTTGACCAACTCACTCATGATACTTTACATGATGCCAGTGGTAGTTTTTGGCATGGGCGCGTATGCGGCTGGCGCAGCTCTGGTCGTGTTCTACAATTCGATGGTCTATATAATCGCAGTGGTTGTCTTCCTTGTGCCTGGTTGGGCCTTGATGTGGGTCTTGTATAGGCGTGGCAGCGGCGGATATCTGAGCGACTTTATTTGGCAGCAGAGGCTTGTGAAGGAAGGGCCTGACGGTGGCAAACGCCAGGTCAGCCTGTGAAGTAGTTTCACCACACAAGAATATGCTTCCTGAATCTTGCCAGGCTCGCGTGTTCCGATGGCGGCCTGTGGAAGCTGTGCGGAAAAAACATTTTCCGGAAAAGTGCGTTCCAAGTTTTGACAAGTCAACTTATAGCTGTCCAAGCAAAGTGACCCTTGCATTCCTCAGAGCACTCTTTCGGAGATTGCCATTTCATTTGCTTAGATGCTTTCTTCGGATCTTCGGATCTGTTGCAGGACTGCGGTTGGCAGATTGAGTTTCAACATGGGCGTATCCTATCATATTTAGCCGACACGGCTCTCAATAGCTCAGTTGCCATACGCGCGAAACTTGGTTCCCTCTCAGGGAAGGGCCAACGTTTTATCGTTCACCACAAGCACCTCCAACACATCCGGGCAATTGGCAACACCACGCGACATATCTGCGCTTGACTCTCAAGAGCTGTTGGGACGCATTGGCCTGCGGTTGTCCAAGGTAAATGGCCGCAAAGCTCACTGCGAGTCGCAGTCCAAGTCCGAGGATTGGAGACTTGGTGAAGGCTCTGATCAGAAGTGCTTAGACGCCAGACCTCCATTTGGTGAAGAATATTTATTTTCATATTCTCCTGTTGGTTGTAAAGGGAATCTATCACTACTGGGATTATTTGTATTTTTCCAGGGGACGAAACAACAAATGGAGGCAGAGAGGTACATATCTCTCTCTCTCTCTCTTGTTCGGGTTGCAATATGATTTTGGGGAGGATGTGTCGGTGACCAGCTTGCGGTGTGGAGTTGCGGAGTCTTTCCTAGAAACACCCGTTGTATTCAACTCGCGAGTTGAGGATTTGGACATCGACTTATCAAGACTCGCAGTGCGGCCATTGGGCGGCAATGTTGCTGCCAATTCTTCCAACGACGTAATTGGCGCCTTGGCACTGATTCTTTTCTGACTTTGGCAAAGCTGCATGCGACGCAATTATGTGGCAAGCACTCGCTTGAGGTCAAACAGGGGGATAAGGGGAGTACTAGTTGGTCACGGGTGACGTTCAGCCTCCTTGACTGCATTTTTGTGCGCTTCAGGCATCAGATGGGTTCGCAGATGGTTGAATCCTGACAGGGGTCACTGATTCGGAAGCTGGCCCCAGCTCCCAAGAGGTAATTTTTCACTTTCCATTCCGTTTGCCAAAGCTGAAGACTTCTGTGTTCAGTGCCTTCGTGCGGCAACCGTCTGAAACAGGTGAGGTATGCTTAGGCGCTTGCGATTTGGAAGGCGGATGCATAATTTGACAGGCCCAACACGCCATAAGGCTAGCAAGGGGCGAATTTAGTACCTGCGGTTTGCCGCGCATGAGTGGTAACTTGGCAACGCAACGGTCACTGGATGGTGACAGCTGGGACACAACATTTTTCGAAGGGTTTGAGCTTCAAGAAGTAAATGCACAGCCATAGGTGTCCTTTTTGGTTGTTTTGCTAGAACAATAGATGGCCCTGGTTTACCTGGTTGTTCAATCATTTGCTAGGGCCATCTATTTCCCCCTAAAAGGACACCTATGTGCACAGCGCCATGGAAGTGCTTCAGGACTTTGCAGAGGCCAATATTTCGGGGTTCTTTGGCTCCGAGGTAGCGCCAGCCGATCTCTGACTTGTAAGGCAGGGCCAGCTTGCCAGAGGGGGAGCGGCAAGGGAACACACCCCATGTTGGTAGACAGGTTCGGCAGCATGAGCTTCCTTGGCGGTCGATTTTCCGAACGTGGCTGGCTTTTCCGTGGCCTAGGTCCGTGACTGCGCTTGGAATTTGGCTTAAGTTTTTACCTGCGGCAGCCAAAGCTGGCCAGCAGATGGCAGTTGGCACGTTTTCGCGGGGCCCAAGAAATAGAATCCCCTTGTGGATGCAGGAGTCACCGTCTCCAGGGTCTCGGAAATGCACGAAAAGGATGTTAGTGCAATTTTGGAAGCCGAGCAAGATTGCAGGAATGCCCAAAAGAAAGAAGGAATGCCAGAAGTGTTGGGAGAAGACTTCGCACTACCTGCGTGCAATCTAATGAAGATAATGTTGCACGATGTTTCTTTCAGAAACCACTGCTGACGTGCAGAGAAATCACTGGACGCAACCAACAACATTTCACGCCTTTTCTTGTGACCCCCCCCCCCCCCTGAGACCCACTGCCGGGGGTACCGTATCCCCGAAGGGAACAGGTACCTTGTGGTAGTAGAGAGTATGTGTAACGGTCCCTGGATCTATTCTGCAAGAGAGTCCAATATGCCAATAGTGGAGGAACTGAGAATGGATGTCCCTGGTCCTGCAATCTGTGGTTTATCCCTGTAAGGCGCTCTGCTGAGGTCCTTTTGTAATGGCTGCAGAATGAATGCTGCGTGCCTATGGTACAAGAGGGGCCTTGAGCCAAATAACAATGGATGTTGCAGGTGACCCTGAACACCAAAATGGCATTCTTGGCTTCATGGCGCCCCCCCCCGCGGCATATGCATGCTCAGTTTTCACCAGCTTGGGCATTCCTGTAGCCGGCAAGTTTGGGTCGGAATGACTCGTGCATGTCACCCTTCCGCAAGCACTGGGCATTTATGCAGGACTCACCTTTTGTGATACAAACTCTAGGTCTTCCCCATTGTTTCCAGAGCTCACAGAGGGTGTGCCGAACTGACTGGACCTCCCAGTCCAGTCCTCCATTGAGTCCGATGCGCCAAGCGCAGACAAAAAAGAAAAGAAATGAGCACCGGCGGGGGGAGCCTTTGCGCTTGTAAGGGAAATGGCTGTTTGTCAAAACCAATGGTACCATTTTGGTTGGCCATTTTGGTTGGTAGCACCCATTTTAGAACCTACTTTAGTGGTTGGATTGAATCGGATGTTCGCTGGGGGTACGGGCTTTGAATTTTGTCCCATCGCCAAATCAAGGGGAACCGCCCATTTTGGAACCGGTGTTTGGGGATTGCAAAGCCATAGGCATGGGCGCTGAACATTTTCTGGAGCCTCAGGTGACAGGAGATGCTTGGCAGATGCCTCGAAGTTGTTTCAGGGAAGCGGAAGCTTGTTGATGCATGTTGATGGATTTTGTTCGGCGCTTCTTTTTCCACTTGCTTGCTTGCGCTTGAGCTTGAACACAGTCTTGTCAGGCCAGCATGTTTTTTTTGGTGGAGTGCTTGTTGAAGATAAGCAGGCACAAGACTTCTTCGGCTTGCCTGCTGGGTGTTGTGCTAATTGGCGGTTGCCAGCTGGGTTGTTTGAGGAAGTTCATCCCAGAAACCGCGATTCAAAGCCTTTGGCTCAGACACGAGCAGAGAGGACCCCACCAGGTCCCATCAACATGATAGAGCAACCCACGCATCAGGAGTCCTCCCGTTTTTCATTTTGGGAAGGCGTGGGACCATCAGAATTCATTGAAGCTTGACAGTCATGTGTGCAGAACCCTTCAAACGAGCTCTCCAAAACCAGACCCACACCATCCCACACCTCGCACACCATCCCACACCACCCCACACCACCCCACACCATCCCACACCACCCCACAATCTCCCACTCCCACGGCAGCCCCGTTCTTCTCTTGGGGACTTCTCCCCGTGCTGGGCTTCGCATTCGCGCCCTTCGCACCCCGAATGCGGCGATGTCGCTGGCGCCCCGCCTCTTTTGCAGCGCCACAGGGGCGGGGTCCATGCCCCGCGCAGCGCCCCAAGGCGCCTTGCGCATGGAGCGGTGCAGCGGTCAGCTTGGGTCGACTGGGTCACGGGTCAAACCCTGGCAGCTTACCCCCTCCAAATAATTACCCGGCCTTTTTTCAGGGTATCGTGTCGAACCTCTACTAAAAAGGGAGGTAATGTCCGAATGGGATTAGTAAAGGGGGAACCCCCCCCCCTCAACGAAGGGGGTACCCAGAATAGGATCTTGAGATCCAGGTGAAGTGAGTTTCCATTTGATTTAGTATTGGCAGACTTGAGTTTCCATTTGATTTAGTATTGCTGGAGCTTCCTTTTGAGATTTGGAACTGAGTTTCCATTTGATTTAGTAATTATTGCTGGCGCTTCCTTTTGAGATTTGGAACTGAGTTTCAATTTGATTTAGTATTGCTGGACTTGAGTTTCCATTTGATTTAGTATTGCTGGAGCTTCCTTTTTGAGATTTGGAACTGAGTTTCCATTTGGTTTAGTATCGGTAGACTTGAGTTTCCATTTGATTTAGTATTGCTGGAGCTTTCTTTTGTTTTTCCTGGGGGGGCCAGGCAACAAGACTTTATTTCGGGGGCCCCTGAAATAATGTCAAGTTGGGGGCTGAAGTACTACCCCCTTTGTGGGTTTGATTGTGGGCAGGTTTTAAACAAGAGACATGTAAGAAAACATGGGTTTGGTAAAGCTGACAATTTGGGAGCAGGTCCAATTCTAGCAACACAGCATGAAGCATTGCCAGCCTCACCCAGGCTGTCAAATTACTTGACTAGCTAAGAACCAATTGCACTGGGCAGGTTGTATTTTTCAGGGGCCAGGCAACAAGACTTTATTTCGGGGGCCCCTGAAATAATGTCAAGTTGGGGGCTGAAGGTACTACCCCCTTTGTGGGTTTGATTGTGGGCAGGTTTTAAACAAGAGACATGTAAGAAAGCATGGGTTTGGTAAAGCTGACAGTTTTGGATTTAAGGAGCAAGGTACCAAAGATCCAAGGACCAGGGGTAGCTATCTCTCCTCTCCTTCCTGTCCTTTCTCTCGTTCTCTCTTCTTTTTTTGTGAGTGTTTTTTGGGTCATTTTTTTTCATGGGCGGGGGAGGCAGGGGCTTGTCTTTACTCCAGGTGCATTTGCTAATCTTTTTGGGCCCCCCAGTTGTCGTTATTCCGGGTGCATTCTTTAATCCCATTTGGACATTATTTACCATGCAAAACCATATCTTCCCAACAAAGAAGCTCAGGTGATATCCCCTGCTCGCGCCACCCCGGAGCCCTCGGACCTCGTGGAACTGGAACCCTGGTGGAACCCTCGCAAGATCACGCGTGACCATTTTGGTAAATGGTTTAGGGTAGTCTTGTGAGACCAAATGAGATCAATATTAGCAGGGCTCCTTAAAAGATACATCTTGCAAGTTTGAAACATGGCTAGCCACCATTTACAAGGCAATGTTCAGGTGTATAATGTACGGATCCCTGATGTGGTAAGCATGGAAGCAGTTGATGCAGAAGCCCTTTGAGCAAGACGCACCATTCGAAGCAACCAGAATTTCGACGCGTCAACGCCAAAAAGTGGATCTGAACAACACGAGGCTAATCGTTGGGGTCGAAACGAGGAATTCACCGAGGTCCCATGTGGCCACTTGGGGAGGTTTTTGAGTCGCGCGCACCGCTGCCATCCGCGCCCCGCAGACATGGATCCGCTCTATACGCCGGCAGCCACCACTGCTGTCGATGATGGCCGGAAGCTCAGGATGCAGTATGGATCCTCATGAGCAGGCAAAAAACCAGAGAAAATGGGTTTCTTGAGCATTTCGCTGGCAACCAAAAGTATGCCCGTGTGCATTTTTGCCCCCTTCACCTGCTTTGTGTGATAGACGAGCATTTGATATGTCATTGCCATTGCTGGGCAACCTTCGGCACGGGAGGATGCCCAATCAGAGCATTAGCCAGGAAGCTGCGCAGGGGTCCACAGAGCAAAGCTTTGAATGTTGCATGGGCTTCCCTTTGAGAGCTCCAACCTGCTTGCAACTTGGTGTTCAAACTGGAAGCTGGAATCATAGCCTGTGCCACGACCCTGCCATCTCGCTCAGAAGCTCAAAAGTCTGATTGCATCAGCGAATCATGGATCAGAGCTCTTCAAAACCAGTACTTAGTCCCTTGCAGAATTACATGCGACTTTAGTTACACATACGAAAGGAGTTCCCTCTGGAAATGATTAGGATTTTCTTCAGTTCCCTCAAAAAGGAACCTCCAAAAGTGGCGATTGTTTCAGGGAAGCCACTGGGGGAATTCCAGTGACCCCTGTTTTGGCTTCGGAGCAGTGTTCACCCCATATGAATCAACCCCTGTTTATTAAAAAAAGGGGCTCCAAAAGTGGTCTGATTCCCCAGAATTTACCCAGAAATGGACACCGAGACCCCTGTTAAAAAGAGTGGTGGGTGGATATGTCTCCAGGCACAAGCACCCCACCTGCTAAAAAAGCTGGTTGGCTGATGACTGTATTGCTATTGGGTTGGCTCTTTAGACTTTAGCTTTTTGGATTCCCCTCACATGTCCTTTCAACCAGCAACAAGTTGAGCTTTTTCCTGGGAGATCTACAGCACCCAAGATGAATATACACGTGTAAGGTTAGTAAGGGACAGTCCCAGCCAGAATCAGTCGCAGGTGCCTCGGAAAGTTCTTCCCCTTGGTTTGGGTGCAACTTTTTGACAGGAATTTGGAGCAAGTGACTTCAATTTGAAGTCAGTGCCTTAGGAGACCGCGAGCCGCGAGCCGCGAGCCGCGAGCCGCAAGCGAGCCGCAGGTCTGGAGCAGCCCAGGTCCGCTGGGCGCATGCCGGTGGCCCTCACTGCAGGCAGAGCGGGCGGGGGCGGAAGGGGGGGGGGGGGGTTGGGGGAGGTTTGGTTGGGGTTGGGGGTTGGGGTTGGGGGTTGGGGGGGTTGGGTTTGGACCAGGTTCCCTTGGGTCCCAAGGGAAATCGAGGCCCAGTCGAGGCCTGAGGATTTGGAAGCCATAGAGAACATGTCGATGTTTGAGCCAAGCTCCGGAGCGAGCCTGCAGCTCTCTTCGGTTCTTTTGTTTTGTTTTTTTTGCGGGGAGCCTTTCAGCGGGGTTGGCAAGCCACGGGAAACTTTGAAAGCCGACGAGTCCATGGAAATGCACGAACGTATCCCCTGTCCAAGAGGAAAGCTTTTCTACAGGGTTTCTGTTTGCACTGTTGCACTTCCATGGAATCGTCACTGGGAGGGTAACTGGTGGTTTTTCTCAGCTTGGACCCGTTCGTTTTCACCCTGATCTGATTTTTTGTGCTGGGCCCTTTCTTTGAGAGACCTCCACAAGGGAGGCGTCCTGCAATTGCTGGTCTGCAGCCCCCATTTTGGGCATGAGCGGTGTCGAAGACCGTCGGCTGTCCCCGGGGCATTGAAACAGAGCAGTGCTGAAGCGCCTGTGCTGGTTCCACACTTTGTGATCCAAGCTTTGGGAACCGGACAGGTGCAACCGCTGCCTCGTTGTTCATCATTTGCCTCGGTTTTTTGTTCTCGGCCTCGGGTTTCGAATCAGTGCCCAAGGCGGATGCAAGGGTCATCCGTTGGTTTCGCGTCGCTGGTATGTGGCCCTGGGGACGGGTGCGGAAGTTTGGATCAAGATTCAATGGCCAGGGCGAGAAGCCTCACCTCCGCGGCTGCCAGGACTGAAGGGGATGACATTGGAAGCACCAGGTTTGTTTCAAGTTGGCTGACATGAGTATTTCTTGGTGGCTCCCAGCCATCCGGTTCCTTGGCCTTTTTGCCTTTTAGTGGTTAGTGGTATTTTCCATGTAACCCACTAAAAGTTAAACTTTTAGCGGGGGACCTGAGGGCAGCCCAGGTTTGTCAACACTAAGGCGCGGTAGGTGTAGTGGCGTCGTTCCTCTCGCAGAGCGCAGGGCGAGCTACTTCTGATTGCGCTGTTGGGTTTCAGGCGTCGCAGCCTGCATGCCGTCGCCAGGCAATGAGGTCGCAGGCAAAGCGAGAAATGGCTGTGGGTCAAAATCAAACCATGGGACCAAAGGTTTAATCCATGTTTCCATTTACCAGGGTTCCCATTTTGGGTACATATTTTTGACACCCACTGCCAAATGAGAAGTGCCTGCCCCCAGAAACCTGGATGAAAGGAGCTCGCCCACCCATCGACCCCATGCTCTCGGGCTCGCTTCCTCCGCCCGGCCCGTGCCCCAGGTCTCAAGCTGCAAGAGACACCCCAAGCTAATTCGGTGGCAGAGTGAAGGTGAGCCACCTGCTCAAAACCCGGGTAGATGAAGGTTAGCAAGGGACGATCCCAACCATAAATAGCTGCGGAATTCCGCCTTCTTAGTTCTTTACATGGCTTTGGGTGCACCATTTCTGTGCCGGATTTTGAATATAGGTCAGAGTGAGGGTACTTGCTATTCCCAAGAGTTGGGGTCTGGGGTGTTTGAGGGTTGGCGTTCAAGGCTGGCCTTTTGAAGGACAAAAAGCCATTGATGATTCTGTTGGAGGCTGTGGGCAATGCTCACCAGGCACACAACTTGGGGATGCAACTTTGCATGACTTCTGCCGAGATATGGCGGGCATGGGATCAGAGGAGCCCATGAAAGACTCTTCAATGGAGGGTTTGCATTTCAAGGGTTGGACTGTTTAGATTTGTTATGGCTCCTCAAATGCATTGTTTCAGTAGCACCTGCCGATGCGCAAGTATTTTGCAGCACTTCAAGCAGGTTTTAGATTTGTCAGGGCACCTTGGATCCCTCAAATCAATATTGTTTCAGTAGCACCTGCCCAGTCAGCTCGCGCTGGGCGGACCGCAGCGTGGCGCGAGGCTGGGTCGGCTCGAAGATTCGCCCCCGCAAGGCCCGTTTTTCGGTTTGATGGCTTCCCCGGTCAGAGGGAATCGACCCGAAAATGAGCACAAGTCTTTTTCTGACCAGAAGCGGAACAAACTGAGTAGTATTTTCCCACCGGAAGGGAGCAAGAGGTATGTTACGATAGCACTGGACGCCTTGAGTTACGCATTCGCGCAATGCTTGCTTGCACGACACAGGATGAAGGATCCCCGGTTGATGCTCGATCAAAGCGCTCCAAGAAAGGAACGGCAAGCTTATCCAAGTCATGATGGCGAGACACATCATGGCAGACCTGAGAGTGGCACCTCAACCTCCAGACCACCCCCAATAAGAAAGACTGGCACAGTGCAAGGCATGCCAGATGCATGCAGTTTCCGGCCTGCCAGTTGCGCCGCCAAAGGGCATCGTTGTGCCTTCCGTGGCATCAGGCAAGGCCAAGTTGGGTACGGCTTTCAGTGGAGCACTGGATATTCTCCCATTGTCTCCTCTAAGTCACTGCAAAACAGCAGCTTAGCCGACCCGAACGAGCAGACCCCTTATTTTGTCCTCCTGGCCGCTTGGCGATTTTTCCGCAGGTTCAGTTTTGAACTGATGGTTCCATCTGACTTTGAGGGCGGCAGGCAGGCCCACTGTGGAGCCTGTTCGTGTTTTTTTTTTTTTTTTCCGCTCGTGTAGCTGTCCAAGTTTTGCCGAGGGTCAAGAAAAGAAAGGACCTGCAACCGTGTCATCCAGTCGACTCCAAGCGACCAGGACAAGGGAGAGTCCTGCTTGCACTGGCACCTTTGCAAGGAGCCATCACAGACCATTTGAACGGAACGTGTTTTCAGGCGCCTTTGAATTGTGTTGTTTTGAAGGACTCTTGAGTACTTGCAGCTTCTTGTTTGGGAGTGTGTTGCACGTGCTTGTTTCCAGAGCCAGCCCTTCGCCCCATTCCCTGCTCAGAGCAGAAATTCGTTCACGCCCCATTCCCTGCTCAGAGCACAAACTTGTTGACTCCCAGGATTCCTTTCAAAACACACTCGGGTCAAGTGACAAAGGAATCCGCACATATCCGCCCGCAAGTGACAAAGGACCTAAGGAATCCATTCGGTTAAGAATAGTTTTGATTTATCCCTGTTGGTTTTAAAGGGAATCTATCACTACCGGAATTATGTTCATTTTTCCAGGGGACTTAAGCAAATGGAGGAAGAACATCTAAGAACCTCCGGTGCCAGACCTCAGCACGGCCGGCGACCTCTCCTCTTTATCCCCGGAGCAGGCGCAGACAGGGATGATGTCCATTGCAAGCTGGGCCAACATCCCCTACCTGCCAAACCGAGCGTGGTTCGGAAGAGTTGTGGGTGGAGCAGCGCTTGTCAACCAGGCTGAGCAGGCACCTGGCTGTCGTTCAAGCCAAGAGGAGAAAAGGGAAGCCATGGTGATACTTTACGGTTTACCGATGTGGTAGAAAGCGAACGTCTACAGGTTCTGGAGTACCCCTTCCGCAAGGCCATGCCATGTGCACTGCCAGCCAAAGGCCACACATAGAAAGAAGATGCGATCTGCTACGACCTTGCCGCCGTTTCAGGGAGCAGAGAACAGACAAAAAAGACCAGGCCCAGGCCCACAAACTCCACCAACCCCCACCCCCCAACCCCCCACCCCCCAACCCCCACCCCCCAACCCCCAACCCCCCACCCCCCAACCCCCACCCCCCAACCCCCCACCCCCCAACCCCCCACCCCCCAACCCCCACCCCCCAACCCCCCCCCCAACCCCCCACCCCCCAACCCCCACCCCCAACCCCCCCAAACCCCCACCCCCCAACCCCCACCCCCCAACCCCCCACCCCCCAACCCCCACCCCCCAACCCCCCCTTCCCCCGTCGCTTTCGGCTTTGAGGAGCAGCAGCTGGAGATGGAGATCCGGCTCTTGGAACAGCAGCCGGGAGCCCAGCGATCCATTGGTCCAGCAGTCCAGCGGTCCAGCGCCAGGTCAAGTCGTCCACATGGGGCCACACCTGACCCTGGTTCAGTGTGGCAGGTGGGTCCAGGAACTCACTCCCTGGACTTGACACTTTTTGGTGGAAGACCCAAGAAAAGTGGATGTGCGGTCTCTTTTTGTTCAAGCCCTAGCCAGCCCTAGGAGAAAAACAAATTAACGTTACCCCAACTTAGTGGCGAACAGAAAGGTCGGGTACTTTGCCTGTCCAGTCAACTCAAGAGAGTCTAACTTTCTAACAAGGAACCTAGTGGTTTTCATGTTGCTGGAGAGGGTACACCCCAATCTGCTTTTGGTTCCTCGAGGGACAGCTTCTGGTAGGTTGAATCTTGCACGGGATGGTTACGGTAAACTATCAGCACGGTTGGATGAAGCAATCTGTTTCTGTGCTCCAGAAACTAGGCCCCCAGAAAACGTACCCTTATTCTAACCTCTCAAATCTGGAGGACCTGGTGTTGCTTCCCTGCGGATATCCCGAAGGGACATGGCCAACATGGGCCCAGCTACCTGCCACGGGCGTCAGGCTGGCCAATGCCGATGGCTTCCAGGAGCCGCATGTCCTCCCAGATTCGGAGGAGGCGCGGGTGCGCTGAAAGATTGGGTACGCCCATAAACTTGGGCCTCGGCAGGTCTGGGAGTGATCCAGAAGGGCCAGACATCCAGTCAACACATGCCCCATTGGCATTGGATATGTGGCGGGTTTCCCCAGCCTTCGCATTTGAAACACCTGGCAGGCACGTCCACCCGCGACACCGCCCCGGATTGAGGCAGGGTGTTTGCGCGGACGGGCTTCGCACTGCCGTGTTGCGTCTGAAATCCTTGCGTGGCTTCCTTCGGGCGAACAGTTGTGGCGGCTTGATGGGAGCTGCCTTGGGCACGGATGGCTGCAGGGCTTGAGCTAACTGAGGCTGGCCCCCAGGATCATAAGTCTGCATGAGTTCAAAGCTCACGAATCACGTCAGACCAGTGGTACCCAATGCCGGCCAGGTGAAGCTTGACCCGAGCGCCTTTGTGTCTGCCGCGACCCTCAGGTTCGGAGAAAGGTTCTTGTGGAAAGTGTCTGCCTGGCTTGGCTCCAAGAAGCCGGGCCTTGGGAAAGCGAGCCTCGTCGAGGCCACAAATCGGTCAAGTTCTCCGCTCGCTTCAGGGTTTCCTCGAGGGCCGCGATCTCTACAATCCACACGCCGAGACAGGGATTTGCCCCCAGAAAAGAAGCAAGCACATATTTTGGTGCCATCATCCGTGCCAACACGGCGCGCCAACCATGGGCTGTGAAGAAGGTGCCTCAGCACGCGATTTTCAGCGGGGGTCAACCTCTGTCCGAGGATTACGCGCACCTCACCCGCAGCGAGTACATCAAGCTCAAGGCGCAGCGCCGGGACGCGGCTTTGGCCATCCAGACGCAGATCAAGGCGCCGCAGATCAGACACACTTGGGGCAGGGCTGGGCTCCCCTTGTGCGCCGGCTCCAGAGGCAGTTTCTTCGGTTTCCCGGGACATGGAACCCGAAAAGGAGTCGAAGGAGATTCCCTGAAGCGCTCCATTTCCAGGAGTCCCTTTCGAAAAAAGAGATTTGCGGAAGAGTTTGCTCTGTCAACTGGGTGCGGCTTAACTGGGCTCCAAAACGGAACCCCAGTAAATGGGTTCAAGTAGACCAAAACCTGCAGAACCCCAGCTGTTTAGTTTTGAGCCACACCCAACTCACTCAACTCGCCAGGTCTTCCTGGTGCGGCGCTACATGTGCGTGGCCCGGCGGGTGCCCTCGCTGCGGAGGATCCAGGCCTCCTGCCGCTGCTTCCTGGCGCAGGCGCCGAGCGGCCGAGCGTCCGCCGGCGCGCGCGTCCCGCGTCCGGCGGCGTGCCCAAACCCGTAGGATGTGGGTGAAGACCAACCTCCATTTGGTGAAGAATATTTGTTATCCCCTGTTGGTTTGCAAGGGAATCTATCACTACTGGAAATATGTTTATATTTTTTCCAGGGGACTTAAGCAAATGGAGGCCAATGGTACTGTTTTGGGGAAGGTGCACCACCCATGTTAAAACCTATTTGAGTGGGGATTGTTTTTTTTTTGTTCTTCTTCTTTTTCTGGGGTACAGTAGTTTGACTCAATACTCCCAAAAATGGAGAAGTGGTTCCACACTCGGCAAGGTTGGCCTTGATAACCTTAGTAGAACCACAAGTCGCTGTTTGGTTGGTTTCAGTTGGGGCCCAGCTGAACTGCCCTTTGCCAAACGCTATAGTGGCAACTGGATTCCCCAGCTCAAGCTGACAGGCTGAGACATTTCTGCTCAGCCCAGGCGGAGATGAAGGAGCGCAGGATGAATCAGCAGCTGAAGTTTGTGCTTCTCATGACCCAGCTGCAGGTGCGGCTGCAGAACATTCGTTTGACACTTCAGCTCTTCTCAGTTGCTGGGGGGCGCTTTCAGGGGGGATATCAGGAAGGGATTGTGTGTTGAAACTGACGCTGGGATCACGAAGCGTTTAGCGTGCGTTTGAGGCAACAGATATGAGGGCATGATGGGTTGTTGCAAAAGACTCCATTTGGACTGTTGCACATTGTGCAGGATGGGTGGGGTTACTTCAATTCCGCGCAGGGAGGTAAGAATGGTCGGGAAATAGTCTTGCAAAGCAACAGCACCATTCCACTTTTTGGCTACCCCAAGATAGACTGAGAATCGAGTGTTGCAGGGGTGGCCTTCAAGACATAGTCACTGACACCGCGCCTGGGGTTCTTCTCGGCTGTTCGGACCCGTCGGATGCGGCGGCCTTTCCGCGGGAAGGGCCGGGAAGGCACTTGCCCGGAAACTGAGGCGAAGATCCGCCTGCGGCTGAAGCGGAGCCTTGCCGGAAATGAGAGAACCAATGGCGGGGCCACCGGAAAAATCTTTGGGGGAGTCCATGGTTGTTGGGAAGCATTTTACATGTTTGCTTATTGTGGTGTAGTGGTTGAAATCCAACCACTGAACTGCCAAAGTTTAATTCCAACGTCAACCAAGAGTCATGATCGTGAAATGTCAGCCGTGAGGAAAGCAGGCTGGAACTGGATCCCTCGCTGGAAAAGTCGAGGGCCATCGAACCCCAAAGCTGACAGGCGAGTGTTTGGTCAACGCCGGGTAATTTACTTTCTGGTGCTCAGCAGATATGTCTCAAGAATCCCTTGTGGTGTCCTTTAAGGCAATCTCTAGGTTCATTCCCAACGCCCTGGATCATTCCCTACTGAGCACCAGCAAGTTTAATTTGCCACCAAACGCAAAAGGCCTTGCAATCTTTGGCTTCCGTGCACTTTGCCCAAGGAAGCGGATGGAAAAGCAGCGGCAGCAAGACGAGGAGCGACAGATACAGTCAACTGAGGGCCTCGAGGGTAGGTAGGTAAATAAGAGCAAACAGCAGTAGTCATGAGATCAAGGAATTCAGCCAGTTTCGAAGGGATATGGAAGATACAAAATCTTCAAACAAAAGTCTGGGGACCATGTTGTTCCCATATGTTCCCCTGTCCATTTCAGGCACTGCTGTTTTTTTGGCAGGAAGGCTATTGTTTGGTGTTCAGCCTTGACGTAGTTGGGCGCCTCTTTCGCCAGCATTCTACCCGATTCAGGCTGTGTGCTGATTTGTGCCGCTGGTCTCAAACATCCGGAACCAGCCAAATGCAGTGCTGACACAGCATCTTGAGGCAGGCGGTGCCTAGCTGCAATCTTGCAACTTGCAACTGACAGCCGCATGAGGAAGCGGGATGCATAGATGCATGTGGCGCTGTGTTAGGGGATGCCTGCCTCTGCAGAACCAGAGGGGCCCAGGATCTGGATCTTCCGCCTTCCATCTTGCTGCAGCAGCCGCCCAATCCAGGCACTCAAATCAAGCAATGGCTGGTACTTGATACCTGAGATCGACTCGGAGTACCCTCCCTCCAACTAACATGGCACCTCACAGAGGGTCTCTTCAGGAGCAAATTGATCTTCCAGGTACCCTCCATCAGGTGCTATGTTGGTGGGAAAGAGGGTAAGGGCTGAAGAATGACCACTGGATGGCAGAGGTTCTGATAGCCTGCGATCAGGAGGAGCGGCTGTGGCATGCTGCGCTGCGAAAGCTGCAGGGCGAAGCGGCGGTGAAGGTGTTCGCGGGAGGTTTCGGGGGGGCAGGTGCTGCTGGGTGGTTTTGGTTGCTGTTGGAGTTGGAGAGTTGAAGTCCTGCTTGCTCAATCGTGCCCTGGCTTTCTGCCTACTTGGTGGTTGCTCTATATACATATATGTATATCACCCGTGACCCATGCATACCGCACATACATATCAACTAGACTTGCCCACATACAGTTATAGTTCAGTCACACATGTTCCAGTCAAGCTTGGTTTCCACCTGTTCACGCGTTGCTGGATAGAGCCCCTAGAGATGGACGCTTTTCCTGAAGATGGTGGAGAGTAGAGCTTGAAGCTTCAAGCCATGCGCAAGCATTCAATCAGTGCTTGAGAAACCTCTCCACAGGGACTCCCCCCGCATGAAAGGCAACTTGGGTGTTGTCAATCAACTGTAAGGCTATTGGTCCCTTGACCTTTCGCCTGCAGCTCATTTCGCCGCTCGTTCCTCCGGAACAAGCAAAAGCAGATCCTTGCTTCGTGGATGAATCTCCAAAAACCCGCGCAGATGTCCCGAGTCGCCTCCGAATTCAACTTCGAGACGGTAGCAAGCCACCGATCCCCCACATCTCCGTGGGAATTTGGGCATCACCTGCCCCTCACTTTGGTGCATTTTGCTTGGATGTTAGGACTTTAACTGTTTGCCAACTAGTGGGTTTTCCATTAAACCACTAAAAAATAACTTTTCTCAGGGGAGCAGATTTCGCAACCGAGCTCAAGGAACCTCTTTGCTCGACGGCTCGCTAGGTGGCCTCGAAATGCCGGAGCTTCTTGGCCGGCGCTCTGCTGGCCGCCGGGCGGACACCGCAGAGTGCCCAGAGCTCGGACCGCTTGGGGCACTGGACGCTCGGGTCTTGGGTCGGCAAGGGCGTGAGGCCATAGGCGTCCTGAGGTGACTTTGGCTAGATGGCACTGGTTTAGGTTGGTTTGATTCCAAGGGCCATCTATTTTCCCAAAAAGGACACCTATGCTGGGGGGCGTTACAAATGGAATCGCGGTGGATGTGGAAACCCGGCTGGCTGTGGATTCGGGCGGAGATCCTGAAATGGAGGGCTAGCTTCGGCTAACAATGCGCTTTGCAGCTGAACCATCACCTTTTGAACAGCTTCATGGTGGTAGGATGTTGTAGGGAATCGGGTTTTAGGGCCATTTTCTCCGATACCAAGTGGAACCTCTCCCCCCTAAAGTGACAAAACAGACATACGGATGGCCCCCATGTGGTATTCTCCACCGCCAGAAATCCGTTTCCGCAGGTCAAGGAGATCCAGCGCATGTGCCGCGTCCACTTCGCGAGGGTCCACTTGGTTCAGCGCAGGACCGGTCATTTCTGTCCTTTTCGATCCAGTGTTTAAAAATGAAGGAACCCGAAGCTGAATAAACCCTGGTTATGAAAGGGAGATGGAATCCAATCTTCCGAGGGATCCCTGAAAATCACTCACGAAAACCGAAATGCCTTCCAGGTCCCACCGGTCCCGGTGCCTTCTCTCCGCTTCCCCGCCTCCCCCGCGCTTCCGAAACGCGGCTTGTGGCGAGGATGCTCCACGGCGCCGCGCGGCGCGTGCAGCTGGCCTGCCAGGTCCACTTGAGCCGGCGGCAGGCACGCAGCGAGAAACCGGGGGGGGGGGGGAGGGCGGGGGCTGGGGGAAGGATCGGATCGGAGGGGGGGGGGGAGAGGGAAATTGCATTTTGGCTGGGTGCTTGTTTTAGATTTTACCCTTGTGAATGGTGAACTTGGAATCTACAAATGCGGTCAAGAATGGTGGAGAAATGAAATATGCACTTTCATGCACATGTTTCGCAGTTCGCGGGGCTGTGAGATTCCGATGTTTGCCCCCAAGAATCGCCTTTGCCTTTGAAGCATCAGGGCCTTTAGGGCCACTAGGGATCAAGGCTTACTTTGCCTAGTCGCGGCTCACTAAGACTCGCTGCACTCAGACTTGAGAGGGTTGGACTGACAGGAGCTTCCTTTGCCCCATGGTGCCGACGACGTCCTGGAAGGGGGAGGGGGGGATGCAGTTGTTGCCGCGTAGTTGTTTTTCTGCATGCCGCAAATCCACCCCAGAAGGTAGTATGTTTGATGTTCAAGCGCGCAGCTTTTGATTTGGCGCATGCCCGCGTGATCTGTTTTCCCTTAAAAAAATCCATTTCGCGGTGGCATTGCACCATTGGACCATTGGACCATGGATGCGTATGAGGCGTCTCTGTCCTTTCCGAGCGCCAGGTTCTGGATCAGCTCGCCCTCGTGCGCGAGCAGGAGCACACTTGGCAGCTTGCAGTGCCCACATGCGAAGCTAATGTGCAGAGCTTCGCTTGGGCCAAATCCTGGATGCCTCGAAATGTTGGGATGGGAGACATGTTGCCCAAGCCCAACCACACAGTGTAGACAGCGAGTGCCTCGTCTACTGAACAGGCCTTGCACCATACCGGCCGTACGTGGGACGACTTGGGATGGACTCAAACCGGCAATTGACTGGAATCTAGCGGCCATTTTTCAGATCCCCTTCACGGCATATATATATATATATAAATAAATCATATGCCTAGCACATGGCTCCTGATCTAGGGGAGCCACCCACTTTCCAGATCATCAGGTGTTCTCGAGGGCCATGCACTCTCATTCGCACCAACCTTTGGGAGAGGAGCGTCTTCGGATCCGTGCGGTGCTGCGATTGCAGACCTTGCTGCCGCTCGCAAGCGTGAGTCGAAGGGCGGAAGTCGCATCGGGGTGCCGGAAAGGATACATCCACAAACCGCCTGATTTACAAGCCGATCCTCCAAAATCGCCTGAGAATGTTGCGCTGTTTGACTAGCCCAAGTGTATCATTCAAGCAACCTGGAAGATTTGCGCTTTTTGGGGGTGCCACCTCTGCTTGCAGGTGATGAATTCGCCTTCACTTACTGCAAGCAACCGAAAGTAGCAATAGCAACGGATGCAGACCAATGGGGCCTGTTATTTAAATGCGAGTTGCTTTGGGTGTGATGTCAAGGGAGGCAAGCTATGAAGGCACGCTTCTCTAATTCTCTAAGCAAATCAGCATCAGATTTGGTGTGGGCTGGTTGACGCCTGTAGCAGTCTATGCTCAGTTGTCGTGCCAGATGCTGCTATGCTGGATTGTGTTTGAGTTGTTGGCTGGGGTATTGGCCATGTTGCAAGGGTGAGAGGCTTGATGGCCTGGTTGCGGTTGGTGGCTTGGAGGTTGATCATACCGCTCATACTAAGGCAAACATACCACAACAATGACACCGTTTATCATCTTCACAGCACGAGTAAAAGCATATGCATTTCTATTCATATTGATATACTAAGTTGGGTGAACCAGTCTCACGTATTGTTAGAGTACAGGGTTTATTATTACTATCTATGTATATATATATATTCATATACATATACAAGGTGATCGGAACCAGCGTGTGACGAGTGGCAAGTGAAATGGTTCTTGAGACCAACCTGTAGCTACAGTCCCGCAATGCGCCCCCTAGCCTGAGTCCCCCCGCAAGCCCGGATGATGTCTTCGACTCTTTGCCTGCCATTTTTATTCAGGCAACCCTTGATTGGTGGTTTGGATTGGTTTGGGTATGTGAACCCCTGGTTCTTGTAGAGGGTACATGGAGTTTCCCCTTCAACCACCAAACCCCAAAACCAGCAAACCAGCAAGAGGGAAGCTTAGGTCCTTAGTCTCCAAATCTTGGAACTAGATAGGAGTTTCCCCCTTCCAAGCAGAGCTGTAGGCAGGGCTTGTTGGATCATCTAGGTCCCCCAGTAGTGCCCTTTCTCACCCCTTTTTTGGTTGGCAGGGTTCCCCTACTAAAAAAGGACTACAGCAAAAGTTGGTACCCTTATTCTAACCTCTCAAATCTGGAGGACCTAGTCATTCTCACGTTCATCCAGCGGCTTGCACCAGGAAAGGCATGCGAGCGCGGCAAGAGCTGCATCACCTGCGGGTCCTGAATGATGAGGCTTTACGGCTTGATTGCTGTTGGGTCGGATCTTGAGACTTTAGCTTTTTGGTTGAAATCAAGTTGGGTTTTCAAAACTAAACCCCCCAAAAGTGAGTGACTTTTTGCAGGGGGGGTCGTTGCAGCAACCAAGACGGGCGCTTTCAATTTTGTGAAAAAAAAGCTGAGTCTGCCTACAGCTCCACCTGGGCCGCGTGCTCAAAACTAGCTCCCCCAGTAGTGCCCTTTTACCAACTTTTTTGCGGGAGAGTTCCCTACCAAAATAGACTCCAGAAAAAAAAGGTATCCTTATTCTAACCTCTCTACTGGAGGACCTAGAAAACCCGGGTAAGTGAAGGTTAGTAAGGGACAATCCCAAGCAGAAACAGCTGCGGAGTTCCGCCTGCTTGAGTCTTTACATGGTTCTGGGTCGACCATTTTAATACCGGGTTTTGTTTTTGACTCACCTCTCTTCACTGTTTGGGGGAGACCATTCTTGTCCCATGAACTTGGCTAGAGGGATTGCAGGTGGGTGAATATGTGCTAAATTGCACCAGTTTCTTGCGAGCTGTGGATGTGTTGATTTTTTTCTGGGTCGCTGGCCGGGACCAGAGATCGCCCGAGCCCTTCATTGCGGTGGCTTGCCCATGCGGCCATAGGTGTCCTTTTTGGTTGGTTTGCTTAAAGAATAGAGGGCGATTCCTGGTTTGGATGGGGTTTCTTCCATTTACCAGGGAAACCCATCTATTTTTCCAAAAGGCCACCTATGGCTGCGGCCAACTCCGATCTCGCAAGAGCCAAGCCTTCCCTGGAAACGACGTTTTGCGCGGCCGCGAGTGCAGGCCGAGCGCCGCCGCAGGCGCTTGGAAGAGGAGCGCGGGCCGGAGGCGCGTCTCAGAGGTAGGATGGTCCCGCTGGGTGCCCTTTCTCACCCCTTTCTTTTTTTGGTTGGGAGGGGAACTATAGACGTCCGGAAAAAAGTTACCAACTTATTCTAACCTCTACTGGAAAGCCTTGGTGAGGATGGGGTGGCAGGGGATTTGTTTGAAGCTGGATTTGATCCGGAGGCGCGGAGGTGTCTACTTAGCACAGCCAGTTTGAAAAACCGAAGAAGCCTTGCCTTGCGTGACAGGGAGTAATGATAGCTGATAGATGATACCCTCCCAGCAATTAGCATGGAACCTGACAGGGGGGTCCTGGTTTGGACCATTTTCCTTTTAAAGGGACCCGGTTATTTGGTGGGAGGGTAGATGGCCATGGGTCAAAATCCAAACCATACCCCCAGTGAACATCCCAATCCCAATCCAACCACTAAAATAGGTTCTAAAATGGGGTGGTGAATTCACCTACCAACCAAAATGGGATCCCAAAACGGTTTTGACCACCGCGGCCAGATGACTTTGTGTCCCGCTTTGGCATCCGCACGCTCGACATGTCGCTTCCGCTTTGGTAGGTGGAGCCCGAGCCAGCGCCGCTCAATCCTCCACCCTTGTGGCTCGGCATTTTTTTGTTTATTTATTTCGGTTGCTGCAGTTCACGGAGTCCGGCTTCAGTTTGCTTGGCTCCCAGCCATGCCAGAAAGCTTCCAATTGTACCACTGTTTTTTTCTTCCTCGGTCCCCCAGCTATTGGTGCCCTTTTACCATTTCTTTTTTGCGGGAGGGTTCCCTACTAACATAGACTACAGAAAAAAGGGTACCCTATTCTACCCTCTCTACTGGAGGACCTAGTTGCTTTTAGCATTGGATCTGAGGGCAGGCCAGTTTTGAGACCTTTTGAATGACCTGGATGATGTGGGACTCGCCTTGTTCTGCCCTGAGCAGCTGCTCGTCGCAGCTTTTAAGCTCCAGGTCAAGCCATAGCGGCTGAGGGCGGAGCATCTTTCGCCAGGAGAAGTGAGCCCCATGAAGCAAACCTCATCACAGGTCAAGTGATCTGCCATCTGAAAGATGCGGCTAATGCGAGGGGGGCGGAGCCACCTGCAAGATTCCTTGGGCCACGAGCCGCGAGTTCTCCGAGACCCAAGCGGGAAACTCCGAAGCGATGGTGGCCAGCCATGGCCTCGTCTTCGGCAGAGGCTCGGCGATGAAAGCGCTGGCCTGGTCGCTGCCGGCCTCTGCGCTCACGGTGCTGTTGCACCAGTGGCTGGACGCGGACCTGGGGCAGCAGACGCTCGGAGAAAGCAAGTGACTGGCTCTCCTATGTCTTGTGGTGTCTTGAGGTAGACGAATTGAGAGATCTTGGGGCTGGGTCATTTGGGGGTTGTTTGTACCCAGGTTGGAGGGCTGTGAGATGATTTGGCTGGGCTTCAGCGTTGTGCTTGGGGTTCTGGTCGCTTTACGCAGCTACCACGCCTACACGCATTTCTGCGAGAGGGCGTCGACTCTCCACCAGGCCGGCGAACAGGATCCAACAGGCCAAGGCCAAGTTAGGGCTGTGTGCGTGCGTGTTGTATCAAACAATGCAGCCGTGTTTTGCTCTCTTTTTCAATTTTTTCAGGGATGATTCTAAGGAGAAACTGTGACATCCTCCAGTTACACTGGGGCTTGAGTCAAGCTTGGGCCAGCATCCATCAGGCTTTGTGACGGCCGCTTGCTTGGACTAAATGCCTGCGCCATGCCAGAGCCCTCTAAGGGGATTTGCGTGGCTTTTGGAGGTAACTTGTTGACCACAGAACATCAGATTGTAAGGTAGCACACATCCCCATGCCTCCCGCCAGGTCAGCAATGAATGGGGCATCGCCTTGACCAAGCTATTGTCTTTCTGCAATTGCGCGGTCGGCACCCGTCCGGCTGTCTTGCAGCCCCTTGCTCAAGATGGGCTTCAGCTTTTCGTTCCAGGCACTTCGGACTGGGGGCACGGCTCCAGTCGATTGTGCCACTCAAAGCGCATCAGTTCATCAGTTTCCTTGTGCCGGCGCCCAGTTGTGCAGTTGTTTTCTAAGGCTTCAGCATCTCCTGACGCGGCTGATGAGTCTTCTGCACAGCACCGCGCTGGCGCAGTGCTGCGGCCTGGAAGACGGCGTGTTGGAAGTTCTGGATTTGAGCTGCATCAACAAGGAAAGCTTAGCGCAGCTGAAGCTTGGCTAGCCGACTAGTCTCCAGGGTGCCAAGGTACATACCCCTTGGGCAAATGAACCCAACAGGCCTGCTGATGTTCATACCGTATCCTCTCCTCAAAAGGGGAAAAAGCCATGGAACCCCTGGAAGCCAAGGGACCGGTATGAACAAGGGGTATGGTAAGTCCACCCTTAGTGTGACTAGTTGGTGATGGGTTGCCTAGATCTCCCATGATGTGTGACATCACCTCACCTGAACCGCACCCAAAGAAAGGCGGTTCCTGCGAAACCCTTGAAAATGACACAAACTTCCGCATCCATGGGCCCGTGTCATCGGGGGCCGGGACCCTTTCATGTTTGTGTGTTTTTTGCTTGATGCTTAGGTTGCTTAGCTTCTTGTTTTTCTCCTTTGTCTTCCCAGCATTGCCACGGGCGATGCCCTCTCTCTCTCTCTCTCTCTCTCTGTCTCTCCCGCTCCCTCTGTCTCTATCTCTGTCTCTGTGTCTGTCTCTCTTATTTTTGAAGTGAGGAAGAATACCTCGGACCAGTGTGAGACGCTGCTCCTTTGGTTGGAGCGATGCATCCTGGAGGCGGAGCGCCAGAAGGTGCTGGACGTGCCTTGGGGGAAAAAAAACGTGACATAGAGCCAATAATTGATCCAAGGACTTCCATTTTAAAAAATGTGTTGGCTTTTAAAGCGAATCTATCACATGTGCCGAAAAAATATGTTTTCCCCTGTTGGTTTTAAAGGGAACCGATTTCAATACTGGAAATGTTAGGTTGCAGAAACTCGGCGTTTCTGAGAGTTCCTTCGAGCAAAGTTTGAAAGTTTGTAGGATCCGCGCAAGGTGTGAGAAGATGACCCTAATTTGGGTAGCCATGAATTTGCCGCTATCATTGCTCTTGCAAAACGACTGAAGCTGTGCCGATTTCGCCCGAGGGCGTCATACCCCTGACATTGCTTGTGGCCAACTTCTGATTTTTGTTCTTTCTCGAGGGTTCTTTCGCACCCCGAAGAGAAGCAACCTTGCGTCAGACTGCCAACTCCACGAGCAAACCAGCTGCAAGGCAGCGTGTTGCGCAGATCTCTGGGCAAGGTGGGCCTAGGCTGGCCGAGAGGTCCCAACAGCATCTCAAGAAGATCTCGCAACATGGATCATGAGACGGGTACTTAGCCCGGAGTTCTCCAAAAAAACTGCTAATAACAGGAAATGAGAAACGCTATCGAAGATGAGGCTCCCTGAAGTTCCATTTTCCTCGAAATGTTACCATGTCGGGCCTGGTGAACCCACGGAGCTTTGGACCCAAGAACATATCCGATGGGCCCGAGGACTCATTCATTGAAACATGGGAGGTATGATGAGCTTTCCCACTTTGCCTGGCAGATGGAAATCGTCCTGGCAAAAGCTTGCGTTGCTCTCTCATCAAGAAACATTGAAGTGTGCAGGCTTTCTTTCCAAGAGAAAAAGCAAATGTGTCTTCCAAAAAGGGATTGTGCTCTTCCGTGTTTGTTGGTGGGAGGGTATTTGTTTTGCTTTCATTTGCTTTCCATACACGTTTGCATAAGAGGCTTCGATTCGATTCGAGCGGCTGGTGTCAGGTGCCTGCACCCATATTATCTAGTGCCCTTCAGCAGCTGTCCCATGGAATGCTGGGTGTTTTGAACTTCCGAAGCAGAAGCGGCTCGGCGGGGGAGTTTGTGGAATGTGAAGGAGTGATCTGGAGGGAGTGATCGCAGATTCGGGGGGTTCTCGGATTGGGGATCCGGGATCCGAGGCTAGCAAGGCCCCAGCCTCTCCGGCTAAAAGGGATTCGGAATTGGGGATTCGGGATTCCGGACGAAGGCCCCAGCCTGTCCGGCTGCGGAATTCAGGATTCGGGATTCGCGCGCGAATCACATTCTCCACCAGCTGCTCCGATCACGCCTCTAGTGAAGGGCTAAAGAACTTGTTTGTTGGATCCCAATTAGCTTGAATAGTTGTTGATTCACGAAGTCGACTTGCCAGTGGACGCGTCGGGGGGTTGCCGCGGGTTGCCCCTGATTCTTTGGTTAGGACCACTTGGACCCATGCCAGGTTGAATACTGCAACAAGGCTGCGGCCATGGTTAGCAACAAACAAGGGAATCGGTTGTCCAAGAAATGCGGCTGTGCCCTCAAAATATGTGTTTTTGTTGTTGTTGTTTTGTGTGTGTTTTTTGCGCGCTTGGTGCCAAGAAGGTGCTTCTGGGTCACACTTGCTGCTGTTGTTTGCTCCAACTTGCACCCCAGCTTCATTTGTGAGCAAGAAGCTCAGACAACCGCAGGTTGCTACAGTAATGTTGTGTGTAGTGCCAAAGACACGCATTGTCTTTGACGCCTTTATTTCTCCTCAAGAAACTGTTCACAGCGAGCGTGCGGAGCCTGACCACAGTTGCGGTTGCCGTGCTCAACATAATCTTTACAATCTGATGTAGAGGATCCCTTGCTTGATCTGGGCATATCTCAACATTGTCGAGAAGGAGCGGAATTTGATGCGGAGATCATAAAACATCCACATGATGCAACCAAGCATGTCTGGGCGCACAGCTATGAGCAAAATTGAGCAGCAGACGTGAATAAACTGAAGGTTCGCCTTTGAGGATGCCTGACACTGGTCCTGTTGTTTTCCACCGTCTTTGCGTAGGCACGCGTCGGCATGCACTTATGCTTTAGAGTCCTTAAAGCACCTAGGTCATTTCTGAAACGAGGCTGGCTTCTATCACAAACGCAGTTTGCCGCTGTGATTTTCTGAGTTGCCGTCGCCGAGCTCGAAGCCGCAAAGTGCACAAAGCGCGATGGAGCTGCCAAAGTAGTGGTGCGGAAACTTCCACACAGTTGCCCGCAGGGTTTCGTGGGCGCCTGCATGCGAGTATGGTGCGCACCAATCTTGACTGGTGCGTGTGTTTTTTTGTTTTGGGGGGGGGGGGGTTCCCGTTGATGTGTTTGTTTCTGTTGTTGTTGGTTGTTTGTTGTTTGTTTTTTTTTTGGGAGGGGGGGGAAATGAGAAACCTGGCGCGACTTGACGGGTGCGTTCCCGTTAAGCTGAGGCGAGATCCAGCTCCCAGGGCTCTTTTGGCAGGTCTTGTCCTTTGGGCTCACGGCCCACTGGCTGTTGACGCCGGTGGCCAGTCAGCTGCTGCGGCCCTGGCTGGCCGCTCGCTCGCCGGGGGTTGGGCGGGGTGGGTGCTTGGACTAAGTCACCCAGTGACCTTTTTGGGGGGAGGGTTACCCTAAAATAGGCTACACAAAAAAGAGTAGCCTGCCCTTTTACCCTTTCTTTTTGGGGGAGGGTTGGCCTACTAGAATAGACTACAGAAAAGGTTGATAACACTCTTGCGGATGTAGTTTGGTGGCAAGGGCCCCCAGCTGGTGCCCTTTTGCCGTTTCTTTTTTGCGGGAGGGTTCCCCTACTAAACAGACTACAGAAAAAAGGGTAGTGTTATTTAAGGGCTGCCGCCCAGTGCCGCCGACCCCCGGATTTAGTTGTGGTTTTCGAGCAAAAGAAAACAGTGCCCTTGGTTTTGGTTTCTTTGGTTTCTTTTGGGTGAAATGTTAAATTTTCGCCCCGGTCAAATTTTAGAAAGAGATAATGATGACCATCAGGATGGTGATGAGAAGAGTGATGATGATGATGATGACGACCATCATCATGATGATGATAGATGATGAGATGATAATCGTGCATGACCATCAGGATGGTGATGAGAAGAGTGATGATGATGATGATGACGACCATCATCATGATGATGATGAGGAAGATCCTGATGATGACTGTGATGATAACTATCATCGTAGCATCCCTTGCATCACCAGTGCTCCCTAATGAGAGATGATGAATGATGATAAGGATGAGGCCTGTGATGAAAACTCTCATCGTAGCATCCTTTGCATTGCCAATGCTGTCTAACGTTACTTTTGAAATGCATATAAGAACAAGAAAGAGATGATGATGACCATCAGGATGGTGATGAGAAGAGTGATGATGATGATGATGACGACCATCATCATGATGATGATGAGGAAGATCCTGATGATGACTGTGATGATAACTATCATCGTAGCATCCCTTGCATCACCAGTGCTCCCTAATGAGAGATGATGATGACCGTGATGACAATGATGATAAGGATGAGGCCTGTGATGAAAACTCTCATCGTAGCATCCTTTGCATTGCCAATGCTGTCTAACGTTACTTTTGAAATGCATATAAGAACAAGAAAGAGATGATGATGACCATCAGGATGGTGATGAGAAGAGTGATGATGATGATGATGACGACCATCATCATGATGATGATGAGGAAGATCCTGATGATGACTGTGATGATAACTATCATCGTAGCATCCCTTGCATCACCAGTGCTCCCTAATGAGAGATGATGATGACCGTGATGACAATGATGATAAGGATGAGGCCTGTGATGAAAACTCTCATCGTAGCATCCTTTGCATTGCCAATGCTGTCTAACGTTACTTTTGAAACGCATATAAGAACAAGAAAGAGATGCTTGATGAGAAGAGTGATGATGATGATGACGACCATCATCATGATAGTGTGATGATAACTATCATCGTAGCATCCTTTGCATCACCAGTGCTGCCTAATAAGAGATGATGATGACCGTGATGAGAATGATGGCAAGGATGAGGACAGTGATGATAACTATCATCGTAGCATCCTCGGCATCACCAGTGCCGGCTAAGAAGAGATGATGATGATAAGGGTGAGGACTGTGATGATAACTATCATCGTAGCCTCCTCTGCATTGCCAATGCTGTCTAACGTTACTTTTGAAATGCATATAAGAACAAGAAAGAGATGATGATGACCGTCAGGATGATGATAATTATCATCACAGTCCTCATCCTTATTATCATTATCATCACGGTCATCATCATCTCTCATTAGGGAGCACTGGTGATGCAAAGGATGCTACGCTGATAGTTATCATCACAGTCCTCATCCTTATCATCATTGTCATCACGGTCATCATCATCTCTTATTAGGCAGCACTGGTGATGCAAAGGATGCTACGATGATAGTTATCATCACAGTCATCAGGATCTTCCTCATCATCATCATGATGATGGTCGTCATCATCATCATCATCACTCTTCTCATCATCGAGGCATCCTTTGCATTGCCAGTGCTGCCTAACGTTACTTTTGAAATGTTTTGCGGGAGGGTTCCCCTACTAAACAGACTACAGAAAAAAGGGTAGTGCTATTCTATCCTCTCCACTGGAGGACCTAGGTGGCGGTGCGGCTAAGAAAGCTATTGAAGCTGCCAAGAGGAGATGGGGGGGTTGGCCAGTTGAGCAAAGTCCGATGACTGACGCGCACCGAAGGCCCTAAAGCTTGATGGCCTCATGTTGAAAAGAAGGGGGGCACACAGGGCCTGAAAAAGGACGCAGGCCAGATGTCATGCTACATCAAGCCCAGCTGCTTGGCCTCTTGGAACCCAGGTTTCCAGGAAAGCGCCTAGCGCCTTTTTGTCCGGTGGCCGGTGGCATCTCATGCTGCTCTTTTTCACATCAAGCCACCTTTCTCAGCGGCACCTGGTTGGTCGGCCCTTCCAACTGGGTGTAGCCATTCGTTTGATGTGTGCGTGTGTGAAAGGAGGACTTTTGCAGGTTCTCCTATTCTTCAGCAACGCCTGAATCAGCCTACAGCCGAAAGGATGCCGCTTTTCCCATGGCACTGTGCAAGTACTGTAAGGATTTGATCTTGTTCGCTCCATGAATGTAAGCCGGCTGATGTATACAGGCCATTGCTACATTCTCAGGCGGGCATCA